CCGATATATGACCTGGCCATCAGCGTTCCGATGTTGGTAATGCCATTACCAAAGGAGGCATAGAATACCAGTCGGTTGATGGGCTTGTGAAATGCTTTGGAGCAGCAAAAGGTGATAATGATGAATAAACATCCCAAGAGAGAAAGGATGGAGCAGACACGCTCGACAATGCTGAGAGCATCCAGCGTCTCTTCGCCCAAGTTAACCTTCCTCGCAGTGTTCATTGTGGCTGTTGGTGGATGCTCGAACGCATGTGATCGAGAGAAGAAACGCGATGACTAGCCAGGGGAATGCAGGTAGCTAGTCGGCGCCACGGTTTCTGCTCGAATACGGACGAATTCTAAGCTGGCTTCCCCCCAAGTTGTGCACTGGCCGAGCCTCCGGGGTGAGCTGGCTGATATACCAAAGCTGACAGGCCCGTGAGCCAGCTTGTGGAAAGAGCGAGGGTGTGACTGGGCGATCGGACCTCGTAAGCGTCCAGGCGTCGTTAGGCTGGTGAAGCGGATCCCCGAGTAAAGTTGCGGGTATGGCTGCTGATCACTCACAGACGGGGAAGATCAGTTGCTCGATCAATCAAAATAAATTCTGGTCGGGATGGACAGGTCTCATCGCGTGCGTGGATGGACTTGGACAAACATAGAAAGGTAGGCCCAGACGATCGAGAAAAGATGACCCGCGCGCAGATATAATGGAATGATCTGGCAACGGAACAGGACAGGACACACGAATCAGTTCGACTCGGCCATCAGGACGAACTACGCCTGGGCAGGAGGATAATACGACATGAGCCCTCCTTTCTTGGCCTGGCCCATGCGTCAACATTAGGGGAGCATTGCTGGTGGTGTCCGGGGTACTAGAGTCGAGGAAGGAAACTGGGGTGAGGGGTTCGGTTTGTCTGGATAGAGGAGTGATCCTGCCGTTATCCTGCGAGGACTAGGGTCATTCGAACGTCCGTTTGGGACTTATCCGTCCTGGGGCAACGCATGGCATGGCATGGGATGCACATGTATGTGGCTGGCAGGGTTCAAGCTCCGTTCCACCGAGGGTTGCTATTGTCCCGGGATAGTACAGCCACGAACCATTGCCACAGACATGGAAGTGGAATATGCCAAGGAACGAACCGCAACAGACTGCTTTATGTGATGCCTCGTGTGGAAGACCAGCCCTCCTAGTCACGAAATCGTCAGGATGGTGGGATTCGCTGGGTTGAGTTGGAGTGGGGTCGCAGGCACGAGATAATGACCCTTTGCATCTTGTACCAGTGATTGCACGATGAAATGTTCTCTGGGTAAGCATCTCTGAACAGCCAGGGTGGGTAACCCACCGCTGATCTCCTGAAAGAATTGGCCTAGTGCCTACCGCTGATCGTAGAGGACATGGTGGACAGAAGAAATCGCGACTCGAGCGAGGAGGATGCCTGCCTAGTGTCGCTGGTTTCTTCAGCGCACGAGCAGGGGCGTAACACCCCCGTCAAGCCACGCAACATGGTGCCAGTCATGTGCAATGACCAGCCAACTGCTTGGTTGGTACGGCCACTCCGTGTTGCTCTCGGATTCCTCATTTAGAGTTGGTCATGGTGCTTCAGGTTAATATCTGAAGTGCAGTGAGGAAGACGCAACCAAGGAAAAATGCCGTGTGCGCCGATGCCCCCAGACCGAAGCCGCGTCGAACCCACGAAGAGGGAAAACCACCGCTCGGTCGCTCTCAAAAACCTTGAAGCCAAGCGTGAGTCGGGAGAGTGAATGAGTCCCCGGAAGCGGTGAAAATAATGCGACACGAATGAGAAATTGGGCTACCCATGCGTGTAATAGATACGGCAGGCAGCGAGTTGTTGTCGTGACCGAGGGAAAGCTGTGAGGAGATTTTCATGGTGTCTAGGCGGACACTTGACCACTTCAGACAACCTCGCCATCACGCAAGTCCAGACCTCAGACGGAGGACGGTCCTGAAAGGGGGGTCGGGGCCAGACTTGGGTTGCTTCGTCCACGTGGAGGACGCCACGGCATGGCTAGCGGTTGTGCCGGGTTGTTTGAGATGGCCGGAATGGTGTCGCTGATGCAGCTATCTTGCTTGGGCCTTCGCTTGCGTCGTCTGATTGCTTGACGAGTGGCTGGCTGTGATGCGACTGTGTTTTTGGGAATCGAGCCAGCCATTGGCCGCGTTGGGGAGGACGCCGAAGGGTTTTCGCCTTGCCAGAATCGTTCTTCTGCTTGACCTTGTGTGCAAGGAAGAGGATCCATGCGTACTCGCTAACCATGGGTGAACGTTGATTAAAAGTCGCCTAGGCCGAACGCCACAGGCGGCGCAGGCGGCGATGAGACGGGATGGGTTCGTCGAGGCACCAACAGACAGACCCATCTACATACACCCTTTTGCCGTGAACTGAGTCCGAGTTGCCGTCCCGGGCCCCAGTGGGTTGCACGTCGAGACGCTATCACTTTTGGCCTCCAGGGCTCGGCTCGTCAGTGTTTCTGAGCTGGAGAGGGTGTGGTGCCCAACCAGAAATCTACCTGGTCAAGGGCGGAAGCAGGCTGATGTGGTAGACGGGGATGACTGGGAGCAGGGAAGATGCTGCGGGGTCCAAGGTTGTGCCTGGCAATTGGGAGGTCTGGGCATGGAGCTGAGTCTGGGCAAGCTGGGGAAAGTGGAGGTGTGGCCAGCCCTCAGTCCCTTCCTACCAGGTACTTTTGGTAGGTCCTCTCCCGACAATTGTGGAGGCGATCGAGGAGGTAGTGCCCTGCTTGGGTACTTTTCCACCTGCACCTGCCCTCGACATAGTGGGTACGTACCTGATCGAATCACGACGGCAGGTTCTGTCGTCAGCAGCTAACGGCCAGCGACTGCCTCCTTTCCCTTGCCGTACCTGCATCTTCGAGGGCCAGAGTCCTGTGCTCATTTCTTCGATCCCCAAGCTCCAAACTATGACGGGACACCCCCTTTTCCTAGCCCACCATTGACCACTACCGGGCTTTTATCTCAGGCACGCGACGAGATTCCCGATCTTCCTTACAGTAATTTGTGATATTTGCTCGGAAAAACCCCTCCCCACTCACACGACACTACAATCTAGCCTGGACTTCGGTTCGGGACACGATCTGGCAGGCAGTACCTAAGTCTCTCGTGAGTCGTCAAGGCGAGGACGATGCTCGCCCGGTTTGTGGCCATCAGAGCACAATGCTGAACCGACCCTGCAGTATCCCAGCCTATGCAAGCGGGCGGTCGCCGTGCCGTCCGATGTGGAGACTCAGATCCTGCGAATCACAACTGAGCCGTCAGATCGCGAGTCACGTCAATCAAAAGCACGACAGGTGTTGTGACAATGTATCTCGCCATTGATCATCGGAGGGGTATGCATGCGCGGCGACCAATGCCAGATGTAGCATTTCTTTGCCTGCCAAGACAGCTCATCGCTTGCCAACCTCATTCAAGCTGCTCTAGGTACGACAAGGATTCTGCCTGTGCGCTTCCTGTATTGTCAGGGTTCATTTAGCCTTTGGCAAAAGCCTCTCCTTCCCCCTTCTCGGCCTGCCAAACTAGGCTGGACCGACTATTCAGCAAGCCACAATGCTGGTTGACGAAGAGCTAGCCCTGTGGACATGGTCGACGGCATGGCATGCGGGCATAATATCACGAAGCAGGCTAGCCCGGTAACCTCGATGCATGCCGGGTTTTCACGTGGCAATCATCTGTTCACAGCCCTTGCTAATTCATGCCATGCGGTCGTTTCGAAGGCAATTCCGTGTCGGAGAGCCATCATGACTGGCAGTCGTTCGTCCAATGATTTCCCGATGACATGAGCCGCTGCCTCGTTTACTCGAGGTTTGTTAAGCCATGTTGATACACAGCTTCTGCGGAAGCACTGTTGGCAATACAGCCACCGGCTGTCCTTTGTAGTCTCTAATCTGGTGCAAGCCCATCACAAGTAAATCTTAGCTGGCCACCATCAGGCTAAGTGATTCGGCTGAAGCCACCTCCGGTCCATTCACTGGACTACCTCCCAATTACGTCGTTTCTCGGGGAGAGGTTCCGTAGTGATGATATTCTCGTCACACTCTAGTTGACTTGTTGGTCCCCTCTGGTAGCTTTGATGATTCCGTCGAAGACATTAGAATGGCGTTGATGTTGTCAAACAACGTCACAATAAAAACAGGCGTCAATTCTAGCTCTATCTAAATGTAGACGGCCTTACCCATACTTTGCTGCGTGAAACAAGTCAACAGATCGTGTCTCGTGCCAACAGTGTAACGCCATTGTTAGCCTCCCATGCGATGCGATGCGCCGAGAACTATGTCTTTAAGCAAACCATCTCAGTTGATGAGATGCTCTCTTTCATTCACAAATATGAGACAAATGGGTCACTACCTCACAACGCCCGACTTAGTGGGGAGATATTCTGAAAGCATCGACTCATGGAGAGCCTTGTTCTTTGTCTACGCTTGGTTGTCTATTTACCAGTGGACACAGCTCGCGAGAAGCCTCATGACACTTTCGACCCCATCTTCTACTTCTTAAGCTTTGAGCCAAGTTCGATACGACCCACAAAGTGAGAACTTGGTCTATTAAGGAGCCACGGTCGCAAAGATGGGGCCGCCCGCGCTTTTTTCCGAGGTTGGAGAGTAAATGTATCAGGGCTGAATACCAAGCTCCCCGGATTCAACCCGAAAAGACGGCTATCAGACAGTCACAATTTCCGTCCAGCGATGTCTCCACGATCAGGCTTGACCAGGCATGGGCCTGGTAAAACCTTGGTGCCAGGTCAATCAACAGGCAGACAACAGAACCACGAGGCGACCCCAGAACAATACAAATCGGGCCAGAGCCAGCATCGTCTCGAAGGGAGATGGAATGAAGGAAGATTCACACATAAGCGTGGATCGGGTCAGACCCGCCCGAACCGCAACCGGCGCCCAGCCTCGTCTAGGTTGGATGCCCGTGCTCTCCACCGCGTCTACTCGGACGGCGACATGTCCATGCTGGCCGTGCCTCCAAGCCCTCCACCGTCAGACCAACCATCGCAAGAGTCCTTGCCCGACGCGAGACCCCGGCGAGGCCACGAGCAACGACAAGAACGCCGCGGCGGCCGCGAGGGGAAACACAGTCGTGGTGGCCACCCGCGAGAGACCCGGCCGAAACGTTCCCCAATCGATCTCCACGCCCACGCCAAATTTGACGGCGAACGAGCACGCATCCACCGGCGAAACCTTCAGTTGAAACACGATCTGAACAGGCTCGTCCAGCAGGCACGGTGGACTATCGATGACTGGGCTGAGGATGTAGATGCGCATGAGGGGCAGCCAGAGCCGATGGACTGGCAACCCGAACCTCTGACACTGGTGAGGATATGCGAGGGGCCGGGTCTCGGACTTGGGCTTGGGACGGGGAGCTGGGAGAGAGGCGAATGGCAGCAGAACCCCGCCAATTCTTGTCCCAGGAGAAGCATGAGCTGGAGATTTGGGGTTGAGCTCCTGGATGACATATCCTGACACGGAGACACGTCGTCTCATGAAGGATTTGTGACGCTCGAGCTGTCAGTGGACTCGTCTTGACCAGCCAGGTAGCTGCTGGGGAGACTACGTGTTGCCGAAATGGTCTGATGATCAGGCCTGCGAATCAGCAAGTCTTGTCGGACCGCGTTACCATCGGAAAGACGCGTGCTGTCGAGGGTTGTGTACCAGTTGCTCATCGGTCGTGGGAGCACTTGTCCGAGAGCACTCCCATTCCCATCGAACGTTCACTCCAAGTAGACAGAAGCTACGCATCATATGCTAAACGTCTTGAATTCGGCTGAAAATTTAGCTGAACGAGACAATCCTGAAACCTTACAACGCCTGCCCTTTGGTGAAGCCCAACCGACCCAAGTAACCGAGAACGCAAGAAAGCCGAACATCGTGGGAATCTCGCATGTCATGTACAAGTCAACAGCTCGCCCGCACGCAACCCTGCGCATCACACACTACACCAGCTTATTTTCCGTAACGGTTGTACTCAGCAGCGACCAGGCAATGGTCACGCTCGAAGGGCTCTGCATAAGATTGTTAGTCACACGCAAACTAATCGAGGGGAACGGGGAGTGGATCGTACCAAGTGTCAGCTGCTCCTTGGGGGTGATGCGCTCCGCGCGGAGCTTCTCGACCTCCTGAGCAAAGACCTTGGCGGGAGGGGCCGTGGAGTCGATACAGTTGGCCCTTGATGGAGATGAGATACCACCCGCCGACCTTGAGGAAGTGGTGGAGCGTTCAATAGCAACGATACGGGCCTGGTCGGGCTGGGCCACATCGGCGAAGATGCAGTCGACCATGGCATGATCATGCGTACTTGAGGGGCTGACGGGCGTCCTCGACAATGGGAACGACGTTGGTGCGCTTGGAAGCCATGCCGATCAGGTCGCGACCAGAGCGGGGAGAGAACTCGACGGCGTAGACGAAACCGGTAGGGCCGACAATGTCGGCAACGTGGGAGACGGAAGTACCAGAGGCACCACCAAGGTAGAGGACCTTGGAGCCGGGCCCGAAGTACATCCTGTCGAGACCACCGATGACACCGGCAGCCAGCTTCGAACGGAAGGGGTTCCACACGCGGTACTCGATCTTGGTGTTGGTGGTGGTGCCGTCCTCGTTGGTGACGGGGTTGTCGACGGAGACACGCTTCTCGCCGTAGACAGACTCGCCGGGAGTCAGGTTGCGGGTCGCAATGGCGTCCTCCTTGCCGCGGACAACGAAGATACCCTCATGGCGATGGGGCTCCTATTTCTCTGGTCAGCAGAGCACAAACGGGGCCAATCCACAGGCTCAACTTACAACAATGACCTTCTGGCCTCCCTTCTGGCCGCCAGCAGCGCCGCCACGGCCACCCCTCGGCTTGCCAACGCCGCCACGGCCACGGGCACCACCACGGCCACCACCACGACCACCGCGGTCACCGAAGCCGCCGCGACCACCGCCACGACCACCGCCGCGACCACCACGATCACCAAAACCACCGCGACCGCCACCGCGGCCACCACGGTCACCACCGAAACCGCCGCGGCCACCGCCACCGCCTCGGAAAGGAGCCATCTCTGCTGTAGGTATGGTAAGATGAAACAAAGCTTCAAGTAGATGTCGTTATCTCGACACCTCTGGGTTCGTCCGAGTGAATTGAGTGGGAGAGGACGAAAGTGGTGGATCTTGTCGTACTGCGGACAGACTGCTGCAGATAACAATCTGGCGGGTGAAATTTTTCTCTAGACTTTTTTCTTGTCGAAGCTGCAAAGAGGTCGAGAGCTCGGACCAAGCTCCATGCAGAATCCGACTTTGGTGGGGCAGCGAGATGATTGGCCTGCTCGGCACTGCGATTTTCCATATCCGTGATAAGATAAGCCTTCCCGCACAAACAAGAAGTGGGGCACAAAATCAATTTTCACTGGCCCCATGCCGGAAAGATGTGAGACCCTCTCCTCTCACGCACCCCAAAAACTCATAGGGTAGAGCCCTACAGTCGAAGTTGCACCCTTCCTGATTCGGTAAGCGAACCAACCAGCCCCGGCAGAGCAGAGCAGAGCAGGTCCCTCAAGCAACTTTTGAAATCTTCCTAACCTCAACGCCCAGTCCACCAAACCGAACCGTCGACGACCATCACCTCACCCAGCAATCACGATGGTGAGTGCCCTTCCAAGTCCCGGACCGACCATCGACTCGCAGCCGTCAAAGATTCTACATTTCCGGAAGGCCTCGCGTGCCTGCTTCAATTCAGGACCGCGGGGTCAAGGATATGGGAAGATTTTCGACTGGCAGACATGACGCGCTGGGAAGCGAACGAGAAACCACAACTGGCAGAGATATGGAGGGGCTGACACGGTTGCAACATAGGTTCGATACGCCGCCACCGAGATCGCGCCCGCGAAGTCGGCCCGCGCCCGCGGTGCCTACCTCCGTGTGTCCTTCAAGAACACCCGCGAGACCGCCCAGGCCATCAACGGCTGGAAGCTGGAGCGTGCCCTGACCTTCCTCGAGAACGTCAGGACGAAGACTGAGGCTGTCCCCATGCGCCGCTACGCCGGCTCTACCGGCCGCACCGCCCAGGGTACGTTGATATGATTTTTTTGACCCGCTTAACTTAGACGCACATGCAAGACTGTGGTTCTGCTGGGGTCGCGGAAGAGCCCACCAGCAGTACCCATCTGCAACATGAGCCAACGAGCAATCGCGGGTCAACTTGCCGCACTGAATGCCAATCGCTAACCCACTCCCAGGCAAGCAGTTCGGTGTCTCCAAGGCCCGCTGGCCCGTCAAGTCTGCCGACTTCCTCCTCGGCCTTCTCCGCAACGCTCAGTCCAACGCCGACGCCAAGGGCCTCGACACCGGCAACCTCGTCGTCAAGCACATCCAGGTCAACCAGGCCCCCAAGCAGCGCAGGCGCACGTACCGTGCCCACGGCCGCGTATGTTCCACCCCTCCCCCGTCACTCGTGCAACCACGGAGTCGGCGAATTTACTAACAGGCGCGTCTAGATCAACCCCTACATGTCCAACCCCTGCCACATCGAGCTCATCCTCACCGAGGGCGAGGAGGTCGTTCAGAAGTCCGAGGCCGTCGTCGGCCGTGAGCACCTCTCCTCCAGGCAGCGTGGTGTCCGCGCCCGCAAGGCCATCACCTCCGCCTAAGCGACATGATCTCTCCCCCAAACGCATCATTTCTCTTGAGGGCCCCCTGGTGATTTTCTGCCCGGTCGGGTTTTAGACAAAGCGAGAGGCAGGAGGGCCAGGTTCGAGGCAAGCGGAACAACAGGGCGGGCGTCGGTCGGGCGGGAAACGAAATTGCGAATAATGCATATGGCCTCCACCCTTATGCGTTGCGGCTCTCTTTCTCGTTCATTTGCTATGGTGTAACTGGGAAAGGCTATGGTGATTCATGGCATTTTAGGGATTGGCATGCGACAGACAAAAAATGCTCGTGTTCCGAGAGGGCTCTCCGAAATACACTGAAAGGCAAATGAATCATGACCTGCTGGCTCGCTCCTGTGAAGTGACGTGCCCCTTTCCCCGTGCCGCCGAATTCTTTCACGGGCTTTGTGGTCACGCTGTGTAGGCCTGCTTTCTTTTTAGTTGCCTGAATGGTGTTCCAATTGCCAAGAGACAGTCAGATGACAGCAATACTCATTCTGATGGACGACTACATCACCTCCGCGGCCACGTACTTCCTTGGAAAGCCAGACCTGATCTTAGCGTCCAAGTCTGTTCAACTAGAGCACGCTGTAATCACCACCAACATGCACACGGTATGGCTTGCAGGAGATCATCGTGGCAGGCACCACGGTCCATAAACATGCATTCTTCAAAGCATGGAAACAATGGCAGAGAATGGTGTAAATGAGACCTCCCTAAGTCGGTAGATACGTATCAGTCCCACGCCTCAATCAAGCCGAACAGAGATAGAGCAAAACTGGCAGTTGCTTTGGCCATGTACGCCCCCAAGCTCCGTCCCCTCATAATTCGTCATTCGCCCGTAAGTCATTGGATCCTTCGTGAGAAATCATCCAGGAGTCATGTGCACTCCGAGGCAATCCTTGCCTGCGTAAACCATTCTCAAACGCCGTGGTCCTCTGAGACTCCCATGGCCAGAGCCCCGTCCAGCCCTTTCCGTATTATATAGCCTACGAGTCTCTCGATTCTGTGTCTCCTCATCAAATCAAAAACCAGTTCCTCGCATTCAGCTGTCGCCAAAATCGAGCCGTCTCGTCTCATGCGACAGAGATGAGCGGTGCCAGGGCCGAGCGAATCATGGCCACCTGTATCCTTGACCGTATTGTCATCCAGGTTGAAGAACGAGCGAGAAGGGTCGTTTTCCGTAAAAGACCACATTTGACGGTGGCGGTATGTCGCCTTCTTTCAGAACGCTGCTACAACCCCGTGGGAGGCGGAGGCCTGGGTCCTGTGACAAAGCCGCTGAAACGACCACGGCCTGGTTCTACGACGCCATCCATCTGCGCATCTCTGATCTTTCTGGCATCGTACACGCCGGCCCATCCCTGCGTCATATTCCAAGTGGTTCCGAAGTGAAGTTCGTCATCCTCAGGCAGCATGTGAACAATCTTGGCAATGCCATGGTCGCCGCAGACCTGCATGAAGTTCTCGAGTTCCTTTTTTCGCATGGCGACGTCATGATCGGCCCAAGGTTCTTCGCTATCGATTGGGGTGATGGTGTTGACCTCGACGTGTCGAGCGTAACCGCACGACTTGAAGGATATGCTCTTCAGCTTGTAGAGACCACTCTTGCGCTCTCTTCTGAAAGAGTGCCCTTCAGGTAACCAAAGACGAAGCATCGGCCCAGATACCTTGGGTCGTCCGGCTGCAGGCTGGCCCGCTGCCATGCCCTCCACCGTCATCCCCGGCGTGAAGTGGTTGATGAACCCTGCCCAGGACATCTGGCTTGGGAGGTGGGAGCCGCTGCCTGAGCTTACAAAGATTGCATCGTCATCGGAGTCGCTCTCATCGACCTGGATTGGGGTTGGAACAGCCACCTGGTTGGCGGCGGCGGCGGCGGCGGCTACCGCGACGGATCCGAACACAACGGCTGGTTGGAAAGCAGGCTGCGTACCATCCATCGCCATTGTCGGCACTGGTGTCAACCGTAGAGGGCCAGTCAAAGACACACTCTCGAATTCAAGAGTCTCAGAGAGCTTAGAGTCATGGTACGAATGACCTGGTTCAAACGTGCGGAGTGTGTAGCAATTCTTGAGCGAGACATGTCGGATGTACGGTATAGTAGTATCGGACCACTGATGGCTG